GAAATAGTAAAAGCCTCATGTATTAATTTAATCATTGAACTTTCTTTTCTAATTTATTCATTCTAAGTTAATTGATATAATTATAAACACATTGTAATGTGGGAAAAATAAAACAAAAAGATCTTTCCATTTACCTGTTAAAAACTGTGTTGATATATTACAGCTGGAGAATGGTTGCACTCAACACACAGTAAAATGGGTGCAGCTAAAACAATTTTATACTTAACAGCAGTTCTTGATTTAAAGTACCAGATGGGTGAATAAAATAACTATGGTATGATGGTGGTATTTAATCACTATGTACACAATACAAATTACCAGCTAAATCTAAACTGATTGTTGTAGCTATTCTTTGAGTAAAATGCAAGATACATTCAATTTGCTATAACAAAACACAAACATATATTTACAAAAAGTTGATCTGATAAGTTGTGTATATAAAATTAATAAACAGTAGGAATGAAAGCTTACAGGCATATAGATTACACATACACTCTACATGACACAGGTAATTGATTGCTTTATCAAGAGTTAAGTCAGCTAAAGATAAAAGGGAGTTGGAAGTGTTTGCACTGTCTTCAGGATGGGTGAGTCATGCTGTTCAATTGTTGCGTATTCCAAGAGCCTGTTCAAGTTCTGCACGTTTCTGCTGCACTTTAGTGTAGAAGTACCGACACACTGCCTCCTGGGCCCAAGGTTGATAGAAGAATTCTGACCGTCTTTCTTCTTCAGGGTTGCCAACAACATCAGTCATTGTCTGTGTACAGATAAAAGATGAAGATAATTTATGCTATGTAGAAAACAAAACTGAGATTGTCTGCACACTCTTGAATACAAAAATTACCTTCAAGTCACGGGTCTGTGATATGAGCCACTTGTTGATAAACTGTTGTGGATCTTTGGCAAAGCTCAGGAAGAACTCCCGATTAGTTTTGAGTGTATTTATAGATTCAACAGTTTCATGTATTTTGTTGTCCAAATTCTAAAAATAGAAGAAATAGAAAAATGCTATGAAAGGAACACCATAAGAGAACATTGGGGTTTCAGAAGACATGTATTGGTTCTCACCTGAATTTCTTGCTGACTAGTAGTAGACAGCAAGAAGTTGTTCATTTGAGTTTTCAGAGTATCATCAACCTCGACATCAATATCATAGCAAGCTGTTTGTTTCTGCTCTGCTCCCTCCACGCTAAAAAGTAGAATTAAAGAATTACGTGGGATTACATGGCAATGAGAGAAAAAGAAAACTGGGTAAACTGATCTGGAAATCTTACCTGATGATATGATTGATAACAATTGGATCTGGAGGATGAAGAAGTGGATTCAGGCGCTGTGGAATTTCAGCAAACTTCATCCGTGGGCATGAAAATATTTGTTCCACATATTTGTCACAGTTGATGTATTCTCGCTCATGTGAATCCTAAAAGCACAGATCCAGTTTCAGAAAAGGATAGATAAAAATTGAATGAAACTCAAAGAAGGCAGAAGACGTTATACCTGCAACTTGTGGGTCTTTATATACTGCCATAAAGCCTGGATTATGACAGGTCGAGTTTGAGTATGAACACCAAGCAATCGAGCCAAACGCTGGTCCAATTTGAATTGCAGGGGCTGATAATCCAGCAATAGCAAAATTGTGCATCGAACATTTTTGTCTCCTGGTCTTTTAACCTAAAGTGAATCAAAGGAAAATGAAGTGAGCTGCATGAAAGGTTGAAAAATTCATTGAAAGATTATTAGGAGTTCCGTTGAACTGAGACCTACCTGAAAACCATCGGTTTCTTGAGTTGTAGGAGTGCGATGCCATTCAACAAGATGGTTGTCAGGTCCATAGAGATCTTTGTCTAATTCAATGACAAGACTCTTGAAAAATGATGAGAATTTGCGCTTCACCTGCCACAAAAAGCGACAGCAACATAAATCTTATGTGTTCATTTACATGAAGGGAGAAAGGCTGCACTAAAAGATTTGGTTTTGATAACTCAAACCAAAGAACATAGTTCACCTTATTTGGGTCATTCTTTGAGTCTTCTAGAAGACGTCCTTCAACACGTAGTTCCCAACTGGCAACACTACCCTCCTCATTGTCTCCTGGTTCCTTGGCGGGATAAAATGTGTTGGAAATAAAAATTCGAAGCTTGCGCTTCTGCTTCATTGGTCTCTTCAGTGCCTCCTAAATTATAAAACATATACAATGTTACCACAAGCAGTAAAAGACATCAACAAACTACATTGATTCCTTGTACCTGAATATCCAAACGTTTTCTCATGATGGTGGAATCTAACTTCCTCTCAAATGCCAACAAATCCATATAAGCTTGAGATTCTGGCACTAAATCACGAACTTTTTGAGGCAAAATTTTGTCGGCTAGCTTCTTTTTCTTTTTGCTAGGAACATGTTGTGAAAAGTCTCTAGAAATCAAATGGGAATTGATATTAAGTTTCAGGTAGTTATACCAGCAGTAATACCACATGTTCTGAAGAAACAAAAAAATATGACAAGAGTCACAGAGTACAACTCACGTCTTTTGAACAGCGGTCGGTCGCACATCAGAGGGCCGTTTTCCACCGACAGGCATAGGAGGGGGATTTCCCCCTGGTCTGCCCATGGGATTGTACGATGGTTGTTGTGGTCCTTGCGGTCTGGGTGGCATCATACCTGGACCTGCATTGTTACCCATAGGCGGTTGTGGGCCACCTTGAAAGCCAGGTCTTTGCTACAAATACGTCAAGAAAAAAAATACATAACAATGAAGAAAATTGGTAGGGGTGCAGGAGTTCCAAAAAACTAGAGAAACAAACGTGATTGATATTTAAAACTAAAACTCTATTATAGAAAGAACGCTGGAAAAAATTCGTTCAGCTCCCAAATGTTTGAAAACACAAAGGAACATAACATAACCTAAAGGTTGTGAGAAAAACTTTCATATATGTCAAAAGTTGATGCAAGATAAAAAAGAGGGACACGTCCAAAACGTTCTATGACAAATCTTGTAACCAAGTGCTAAAAAATGCGAAGGAAATAATGTTCTCAGTAGTGGAACATTACAAAAACATTGGTTAGACGTTTCTGCTTACCGGAAAATTTGGGCCTGCATATTGCCTTAAAGCGGGTACTCCTGATGGTGGAGGGTACCTCTGAGGTCCGGGAGAAACTGCAGGCGGCATATTTGGCGTCCCAAGAAGCCTCTGCTGAGCCATTTTAATTCGTTAATTTCACTCCATTAACAGATCTTTGACATTGAAAAGTGTTGTCGGCGTTCGGCGGCAGGCTGACGCGCACGGCCACGGCTTGGCGTCCGCTTCGGAACTGGAAATAATGTTACGGTGGCCTGCGAATAGTTAATTTGGAAAATAACGGGAGATTCTTTATTTTCAGCACCACGACTTCCCTCCCCTTATTAGCAGAGTCTGTTATTAGCAGACAGCAGAATTGCCTTTTGATATTTAAGATATTGATGCATACATTTCACATTTCCCATTAAGGTGTTGTTTTCTTCAATTTCCAGCAGTTTACACCTGTCAACATTCCTATCGACCTACAGCATTATAAAAGCGTTATAAAAGCAGTCCGCGATATTGCATTTATAGACCCTCCAACTTGCCTTCCCTATCCCCTCATTTTTTGCTCTACATATCGCCCGCTAAATCTCTGTCTTCATTTTGTAGTGTTTTATTAGTTCCTGCCACATGAATTGCATGCAGAAAATTAACTCTTTATTATAATTCTAACAGCCACAAAGCATTTTCCAACAAAACGCCCTTCGCGCCATTTTTGAACCCAGACCCAGACACCGTGCGCGAAAGTCCGAAAAGGTATTTGACATCAAACCACTTTGCTTCCCTGCCCAACTGCCTCTGTCTGCACCTGTAACTCGCCCATGTCATGTGTTGATCCGAGAGACACCGTCATACCTTCTACTTCATTCAACGCGCTGTTACTTATTGCCAAAGTTTTCATTCTTTGAATCGTGCCTGCCAAAACCAGTGGAGGAATCCGAATCTCCTTTTAGAGCAGCTATGGCAGGTGTTACCACGCCTCCCACTGATGTCAATGCTGGCCCAGGTTCAGCTGGAGTGCATTCCGATTCCACAAAGAAAAAGGTAGGGTACCAAAATGGTTCAGGTTTGTGCGGATTGAAATTGGTAAGGCTGTATGTCTAACATACTGAAATTATGTCACGGCCCTAACCTCTCATAACTTTGGTAGTATCCATGGTGAGAAAGACTCTGACACCTGTTCTATAGTAAACAACAACAAACATTGAAATGATGGACTAAAAACTAATTTTTCTTTGTTTTGAAGGATGCCCTTATTAACCATATGGACATAAATGTTCCCGAGGCTGAGAAGAGAATTAATGGAGCCTTAAACCTTCATGACTTCTACACTGTTTACCTCATAGAAACAAAGTAAGTGTAAATAATACATGTGTGGAAATGAAGTTCAGAATGCTTATAGCCCTGTACATTTTTATTCAATTTACAGGGTGACAGATCCTGTCTGGCTTCAGAATCAGAAGGATGGTACTATTGTGCGACTGGGTAGCCTCTGGCGCCGATATACAGAATTTGAAGTTTTACATAACTATTTATCGTCTATGTACCCTTACATAGTCCTTCCTCCACTCCCTGAAAAACGTGTCATGTTCTCCTGGCAGAAGGTGGCAACTGACACATTTGATCCAGACTTTGTAGATCGTAGAAGAGCTGGTTTGGAGGTAAATTTGTGAGATCTTGTTGTTTGATGAGTTTTCCTGTATAGGTTTGGCATTAATTGTTTTTCAACCTGTTTTTTATTATTCGTTTTGTAGAATTTTTTATTACGAATTGCATCCCATCCAATTTTGTCATTCAATCAACAGTTTTTGGCATTTCTTCAGCAAGAGCAAGGATGGCAGCCAAACGCAAAAGAACATGGTAGGCATTATTTCTGAATTACCTTAATACCATTCCATAAGTGAGAAAAGTTAATACAACAAAGCATTGTTTTGAAATGTAAAGTCTTATGAACACTTAAACATTGGTAATAGGTTACCTGCAGCAGCTGGCTGAGTCCACCCAAAAGTCTATGATAGGTCTAAGAGAATTAGACAAGAGATTTGAGCAGGTAAAAAATTATAGCAACGAACTACAGGGTAATATGACTAATATTTTAAGAGTTCGAGCCATATTGGCTGAGAGATTGTATGGAATTCATAAACTTCATGCTAACTATGGAAGAGTTTTTAGTGAATGGAGTGCAGTGGAAAAAGACATGGGGGATGGCTTGCAGGTGAGTTAAATGAAGTCTTACAGTTGTAATTACAATGGGAACAAAAATTTGTTGAGAAATGTGCAAATTCAAGTCTAATTTACTAAATTTGCTTTTAATTTAAATGTAATGCTACAGAAAGCGGGGCACTATCTTGATAGTGTGGCTGCAGGTATTGACACTGCTCTGGAAGAAGAAGAACTTCTTGCAGACCAGCTGAAGGAATATCTATTTACTGCTGGGGCTCTTCACACAGTCTGCTGTCGGCATGAAATGTTACAATTCCAAGTAGAACGAGCTCAGGACTTAGTTCAGCAACATGTTTCAAAACTAGAACGAGTACAACAAGGTATAATCAGGATTTGTGATAAGCCCTTTTTTACCACATCAGCAGGATCATTAACTGTATTTTTTAAATATTTTGCATTGTCTTTCAGGCAAGACAAGTTTAATGTCTCGTATATTTGGTACAGTTGATACAGATGAGTTACGGGAAGAACGTGTTAGTGTACTTGAGCAAAGAATTGAAGAGCACAAAGGGAGTGTAAGCAATACAATCGAACAGAGAGAGTAAGTGCCTCATTTTATTATTGTTCATTGCATCTTTATTTTCTACCTAGTTAACCATAATAATTAATCTGATCTTCTTTTTTATTATGTAGCACATTTTCTAAAGCTGCTCTGGTTGATATTGAACGTTTTCAAGAACAGAAAGTCATTGACATGAGAGAGACTTTTGCCAATTACATAATGCTACAAATGAAAATTGCTCGTAAAGTAAGTTCCCTATTTTATAAAACAGATATAATAAAATCAGTGACATGTCTTTAAATAATATTTTCTCCATAATTGTTTGTTTCAGGGCCTGCAAACTTGGACTCATATAAGGGATTGCCTTGAAAGCATCAATTAAATAGTTATCTTGCTTTAAGCTTTTCACATTTTCTTATTGTTCATTTCTGGTCTCTGTTTAAGTGTTAAGGGATAATTTCTTTTCATTCCTGGGGATCAATCTCCAACAGTATTGTTAATTCAACTAAGTAGTACTTTCATTCTGTGATTATTCGTTTGTATTAAGAAGTTACATCACAATCTCTTTCTTAGCTTCTCTTGTACAGAAGATGATATTCTGAGAAATTTGGAAGAATAGTACTTGAAAACCATTTGAGTCTAGTCTTGGATGTGTAGTCACATGCACATCCTCTCTTCAGAGATTTTCTCTCCAGATTTAGGTGGGACCATATTTTACAGAAATTGATTTTATTTGTCTGTGCTGACACCTATGAATTTGATATTGGTGTTTTTGTTTTGTTTTTGTGAAGTGTTTAATTGTTGATATTATTGTGTTGCAAATGAAATGTATATTCACCCCTTGTTATAAGTTCATAATATATTTTTTATGTTTGTTATAAATTATAAACAAAAATCCTGTGATGTGTGGAAGACTTCTTTTAGTTTGATGAAAATGAGCACATCAACTCCTTATGGAGTAACTGTAACAGATTCTAATTGATTCGTACATAATACCTAACATAATCTTAAGTACAATAATTGCCAAAGATGCCATACTCTTGAATGAAGTGCTCAAGATGTGTTTCTCAGCATTTCTCCTTCATTTTCTCAATGCTGTGAAAGACTGGGTGAGGTAGTAGATTGGCGTCAGTTGTGAACATACTCCACGGAATCTCGTTCGTAAAAAACAGTATCTTGTTTCTAGTGTCTAGTCTTGTTGCGGACTCCGCAACTAAATGATGCCATCCTTCAGATATGAGTTAGAGACTAAGACTTTCAAGTACGTACTGGGTTACCCAAGGAAGTGTCAGATACGCAAGAGGACAGCTCTAGCTTGCTTTTGAAGCAGTGATGTTAACTTCTGCAGTATTGTTCAAATTTCTGTAACTTATAAAAAGTTGAAATAAATGTGCTTTGATAAACTTATGCACTATAATGGTGTAAATAAAATTGAAGTCGCTTGGTTCAGGTTTTTATAAAAATTTACTTCAACAACTGACAATTACATTTCATGAAGCAGTGTAACTGCATGTGATGGGTCAAACATGGTGAGGAGTTGTAATCAGGACTGGTGAGTTTTTGCCAATATGACAATATCAATGGCCCTGACAGCACATTCATTATTAAGATCAATGATAATACAAAGTCACAGCCATCCAACAACTCCTCACACTAATAGTTGGTTTGACGCTCAAGGATGGTGAGAATGGGCAGAACATACCAGTGTTCCAAGAACTTAACAAAAGGATTGAATCCTTGACAATATCAAATATTTTTTAAAAGACAACACAGCCTCTTCTCACCACCCTTTATCATCATTTCAATGAATTAATATACTTTATACAGAATGCTTTGATACATTAATCAAAAAATGAGATGCAACTGAATGACAGTTTAAAAAAGATAAAAAAAATTGCCAGACAACAAAGTGTCCTCTGAAAGTCTGGAGAAACAAACGCTGAGCCTCACATTTTTGGCCAGCACACAAGTTCAACAAGTACCTTGCTCACATCACAAAAATCATGCCACATCCTGCTCCAAACAATTTTACAAAAGTACAGCGAAAATTGCCAACCACAATGGGGGAATTTCATCTCTACACAAAATCATTCTTAAGTCACTCAACAATTGATCAGATGCATATCAACACATCATGTACATACATGGACAGTCTACAAAAAAAAATTGCATCGCCAGTCTAGAGAAGTCACATATTAAATATTTGGTGCAGGAAACATAAAAGCACTGATGCACTAACAATTTACTTCTTAAAAGCAACCTTTGATTAGGTTGGTTCTTTGTACTCCCTTAGGCAGAGCCTATGGTCTTGAGGTGTTAAAGCTTTGACAATGATTGCTACATGATTGCCAACATATTGCCGCTCATGCTCCACACCAAGACGTAAAAACAACTTAAACTCGGAAAGGTTGGGCCTCTCCAAATTGCACAGCAAGGCACCATACAACCACAGCAATGTCCGATAAGATTGGTCAGTTCAGCACAACAGGTATACAACCTGATGCTCCAACCACTAATTGACTTCTTCTCCTTCATGCTTTCTCTTCTTCCCTCGTGTCTGTGATGCTAAAATGAAAAAAAGAAAGTTATCACCCACAAAATCTAAAAAAAATAATTAGTGAACAAACACACAAAAATTAACACATACCTTCCTCTGCTGCGCCCTCAGCCTCCTCCTCATCTTCAGCACCATCAGCTTCAGCTCCATCCTCTGCAGCATCTTCACCATCCTCTTCTTCATCATCTAAAACATCATCATCTTCCTCCTCTCCAGCTTCCCCATCATAATCATCACCGTCACTTTCCTCTTCAAGATTATCTTTGTAGACAGCATCCAATCCAACCTCATCATCTTCGTCTAAGTCTTCCTCTTCTTCATCTTCCAAGCCGTCCTCTTCATCATCTAGAAAATAAAAACAGTTAAATTGGAAATCTATTTCATGAAAAATTTGAAGGACTTTGCTGAAGAAAGATAATTACCATCACACTCTTCACTGTCTTCATCATTACCATTGACTTCATCATCCTCCCCTTCGCTATCTTCAGCCTCTCTGTCTTCAGCATCAAACCTACGAAGCAAAAAACTCATTAAGACAAATATCATTAAGACAAAATAAAAGCAAACTCTCAAATACATACCCATCAAGGAATTTAAGGCTGGGGATAAGGTCAAAAATGAGTTCTCTGTAATTACTTATCTGAGTAGCCTCATTGTTGAAGAGATCAAGGCTTTTCAGGTTTTTGAATTCTTTCTGGAAGTGAGAAAATACAATGTTGATGCGGCAAAAGAAAATGGAACGAGGCATTTAAACTGAATAAACATACCAAGGGCTCTAATGCTTCCAAACTTCCAATTTTGTTTCCTGAAAGATTTAGGTGAGACAATTTTGGGCTTGTGTGAAGAAGGTTCAAGCCACCAGAAATTCTGTTGTCACTCAATTCAAGCTGCAAATTTAAACACAATGGGTTACTAACAAGCAAACATAGTTAATGACTAAATTGAGACAAGGAAAGTAATATACAGTACCTTCTTTAAGTTAGGAAGTTTGGGGAAACCTTTAAGACTTGTAAGACCAACATTAATGAGGGATAATGTCTCCAAATTAACAAAGTCATCTGTTAATCCAACAATTGTTGTGCTCCGACAATTGTCCAAGATCAGCTCCTCTATCTGTTAAATTTAAAAATATATAATTAGCACACAAACAGTTCACAATCCACACAGTAAATTTTATGCGTAACATTGTCCTTTCCCCCCAAAAAGGTGGAAACTATTAAATTTTTGAATTGCACGATCCTCAAAAAGCTCAAGGTTTCTTTCAGCAAAATTGGATTTTATTTTTTTTCACCCCACCGACCGGGGGTACCTCGGGCGCCAACGGGACGGGACGGGGCGGCGGCGTCGCGGCTCGCGAAAGCCAGCGCCACCATACGGCCACTACTCGCTCCACTGCCAGGGTCATACGGCAAACATGGCCGCCCCCACACCCGCTCACGTACGACACCTCCCCGACAAAATGCAACCGCGGCTGCAAAATAGGGGATGTCGCGTGGCAAGGGCCGTCCTAGACAGGGGCCGGGGGGGCCCTCAAGGCCCGGCCCCGCTGCCCAGCGCGACGCGTGGTGCGGAGAGAAGCTACACGCGCGCGGCACGCGAGGCTTGACATGTCGGCGTGTTCCGGGCCGTGTCGGGTGGCGCTACGGCTGGGTCCCAGAGTCCTCCGGCGTCTCCGCGGCGCCACGGCCGGCCGCCGCGAGAGGGTGAACTAAAGCACCTCGTCGCTCTCAGACGGCTTTAAGGGACGAACCTCGTTATTCGGGGGCCGAATTCTTGCAGTAATGTGTGGAAATTGCATACCATACCGTTAAAAACTGGGGGCTAAAATTAGCGCTCAAAATGGCGTCCGTGGCTTTCGTTCAATTAAACGGGATGTTTATCATTACCCACAACCCGGAAAATAGAAAACACGAAAAAGTAGATAACGTTTGCCCTTGAGATCACAAAAACACACTTTTTTAAAAAGGCCGAGGCCGACTTCCAACTTTAGTTGTATCACATAGGTGACAAGCTGGCCACTGCTACAAATTGTAAACAAAACGGGTTTGGGGACGGTTATGAGTATGAGGTTAGAAAACGCATGAACATCAAACTCTGCGATGTCGTATGCTACGAGCAGGCATCTAGAAGGAGAGCGCTTATCTAAATTTAACTGCTCTTAAACTATCGGTCGAAAACACACTACCCAAAGGTCACAAAATATGGAGCATACCACTATCTCATGGCTTCCACTGAGAAAATGAGGGAAAGAAAATTTGCATCACTCCCTTCAACCCTGGACCGATGTGAAAATCCCAACAAACTAACTAAAGATTGGCACAACATGATCTTAAAGCAGTATTAAAATAGTGAAAATGGCCTTCAGCTTCAACAAAATGCACTCTGCACGGCAAAATGCAGCGCTGCGCACCGTATTCTCATGTTGAACACTCGCGGCGCAGCTCCTCCAAACAGCCGACAAAAACGGCGAAAGTGCAGCAAATTCACAGAAAAACGCGTTTCTGTCAGAAATCAATGAATTTGCAACTTTGAAGACAGTTAAAGGAGCGTTTGCGCCCGCTCTTCCACATATTTCATCGGCCACCGCGCACTGCTGCACGTAACCTATCTCGAGCACTGGTCCACATTTCCATACTTCTCACCTGATCAGGTTTCATCGTTCTCATTTCCAACTGGACCCGCTTCTCCATGCTGATTCCTTGCGCCGCGGACCTCAGTTTGAAGCTTTAAAATGCACTGGGCACTGCGAAAATCCTTTCCGCCCGGGAATGACTGCGGCTGCGACGTGAGACTTGGAACGTCCCTTGCTTGGCGCTCGCCTCTGCGCTCTGACTGTTCACCACTTGCACTCGCACTCGTTGGGCAGCATCAGGCCCTCCAATGGCGGCGACTGGGCTTCGCCGTGGCCCACAACAACACGGCCCGGCACCACGGGCGCTCAAGGCGGGAAACATCACACAAGGATGGAACTACTTTCGCCGCTGCCAATCAGAAGGCTCAGTTTAAAATCGCCGATCGGTATGACATCTGTTGAGCGGACGTGAACTATCAAAGGATTTTTCTGGGTCAACGCAATAAGGAAATTTATTTCAACTTCAAAAGCCCTAAGCATTTTTGTAGCTTCCCGAGATATTTTCAGAATTTCTTGAATCGAAGCTGTACTTCTCAAACATATTTCTATGAAAGGAGACCACATCGGACTATATCGTATTGATCTGCTGCATAGTCGCGGGAAGATATGACTCACTATCCACTAACACTCAGTCAGTCTAGAGTAGAGACTCTCACTTCACCTGCCTTTGCCTGCCTTCAGAAAGGGCTGCCTGGAAAACTAGAAATGAAGCAATGAGCTCAAGACTGCCTTAAAAGCTTGTCAAAGCATTTTCATTTTAAGCTGATTACTTTCGTATAAAGTTTGCCAGTTGTTCTACTATTCATAGTATTGAATAGAAAATGATGCTGTTCTTT